AAGGCAGCTACTTACAACTCTTCCATCTCTTCCTGCAGGAAGACATGCAGTTTAGTTTGGGTTAAGGTAACACAAATTAGACCTCACCCATCTCCATTTATTACTGTCCCTTTTTACAGTCTGAACTTTTTCCTCCTATGAGTCTCCTTCTTCCTTTTATTCTTCTGCAGTCCTTGCATGCTTCTCTTGTGAGGTTTTCCTGACAGCTCATCCATGTGACTAGCTCCTTGTTCTGGATAAGTGCTCAGAGGGGATTTTGTGTTGCTCTGGCATGGTTATCCCTGCCTTGGTGAAGAGTGTCAGCTGACTCTGTATCCCCAAATGCCCAGCAGTGCAGATAAGAGGAGCTGGCAAAGGGCAAGATAGAATCTACCAGGAGAAGTGGGGTGGACCAGGCTCCAGGGAATTCAGTTACCTACATGGCACCATTCTGATATCTGGGAGGTGAACTCAGGGTTAATTCTCAGCCACAATTCATCATGAGGCATGCATTTGACATTTGGAGATGAGGGTTGGCTTCCCTGTCTAATGATGGCATTGAACTCAGATGTACCATTTGTAAATATACTCCAGTTACTGCATTTCCATTATTTGAGAGGAACCTAGACAGCAGGTTCAGTTGCGATATCTCATAAATGGCAGAATTTTCGGTCAAAATATGAGAATATTGATTCCAAGCTATCTGAAGAGGAAGACCAGCACCCACACAAGAGACTTCTCTCACCACCTATGGGAATTCAGCATTGAAGGCACATGGCATCATCTGACTATGCACTGTCAACTCTGGACAGGTTTGCTCTTCTGGAAGCTTATCCACTCAAGGGGGACGGTGATGCCTGGTGACTGAGAGATTCAAATAATGTTGTGTCAGAATGGAGAATATCTCTTTCCACTTTTTATGTATTTTTGGCACAAATCAAGCACTTTGAAGAACGGTGATTTAGCAGATGGTATACATCTAGAAATCAGGCCCAAAGAGTTGCTGCCTTCTGAAACTGAAAATGCAGAGGGAGTCAAAGGAGGAAAATAGGAAAGGACCTCCCCAACTATAATCTGAGTGTGTTGTAAGGGAGCTCATGAGACAATGCCATCCTCGGCTGAACCAGGGCATGAGGAATGAAGGATTTGCTAAGCAGGAAGGATGAAATGGAGTGTGCAACTGCTGCCTTTGCTAAATGGGGTCTCTAATTCCTTTCTCCATAATGATAACAGCTTACATTTATATGATGCCTTTCAACAGCTCTGATCTCGGGGAGGGCGGAAAAATCCTCTCTCCCCTATGCTCTTAAATCTGGTCGTCAGTATGCTTAGAACGACAACTATATAGTGGCTCTATGTATTTTAGAGATGAATAGCTCATGGGAAATGGGGTGTTCAGAGGTGGAGGTAATGAATCCAGCACAGAGTAACAAAGGATGCAGGGAGAGAAGCTGCAGAAAGTTCAGGTATTTTCCATCATGAGTGTTAGCATTGTCCAGCTCAACTCAAACCTCCACTTGAATAAGTTCCTTGAAGCTCTTCATGGCTCCAGTAGGCCCCCCCCCCCATTCACCTTATCTGTTTCATATCTTTTCACTGGACTTCATGCATTTTGGAAAATTACACATTAATGAAGATGCCTTCTAGAAAGTTTTGACAAACTCTGACACTAGGTTATGTAAGCATAGACAAGGAAATTTTGGCCTGATGCTTTGACTGCAGAAATAGAGTGGGTATTTGGGATACAGGCATGGGTAGGTCGAGAGTTGAAAGGAAGGGACTATTCAACAAGATGAGCAGAGACATAATGTATAATTCACTTAGACATAGAAGCCATCTGTGAATATGACCCATTAATGAGTCAGGGGGACATTAGCCAGATAATTATCCAGAGACCGACACAAAGCAGTGGCAAGAATCCTCAGAAAATCACACCCATTTTTGAGAAGTATTTACAACTTGTGTTTAGAACGGTAGTGGGAGGGGGGGATGAAGAGCCCTTCATGAGTATGGGACTAAGTAAAAGAATGCATTCTTTCCTTCATTGCTTTCTCCTGCAAATGTCGCATGATCACTAGACAGTAACACTTTAGCAAAGGGTATGCCACTGGAGATTAATGAGATTCTGAAGGCAATTTTAAAACATGGGAACACTCAGCTTGGAAA